TGGTAGCGGTGCTTGTTTAGATATTACTTCAGCTAATTGTTCTACTGTCACAGGATTAACAAGTGCAACTCATTCAACATGTTAAGCATATCACACTTCTTGCACAGTTAATGTTGCTGGAACAGCATGCCTCTAATAATAAGCAGCTTGCAGTAGTTATACAACTGCCCCTACTTGTGCTTAACGAACTGATGGTTTGAAATGTTTTTGGGATGCTACTGCTAGTGGTGGTAGCGGTGCTTGTTTAGATATTACTTCAGCTAATTGTGCTACTGTTACAGGATTAACAAGTGCAACTCATTCAACATGTTAAGCTTATAATTCAGTTTGCCTCTCTAATTTAGCTGGAACTGCATGCTTAGTATTTAGTACATGCGAAGCAATTACTGGATCAAATCTTACTTGGACTACTTGTTAAGGTTATAGTACTACATGTAGTGTAAGGAGAGATGGAAACGGTTGTGTAACAATACAATCTTAGTGTTCAGGATACACAACAATGACCAGTTGTTATAGATCTACTGCAGGATATTGTACTGCAAATAGTGGTGATACTGCCTGTCAATCTATATCAGCTTCAACTACTTGTGAAGCAATAAAATTAGGAGCATCATTTAGTTTTGATGATACAAAATGCAATACATTTAAAACTGGTTGCATAGCATAATCCACAACAGGATGCTAAACCAAAACATGTGCTAATAAAACAACTCCATTTGACCATACTGCTTGTAATACTTGGTTGAGTACTTGTACTTCAAATGCAGCTTCTTCACCTACTGCATGTGTAACTTTGCCAGCCACATGTGCTGGCTTGACTCAAGCAGCATGTGTTTGGGCAGTTGAAGGTGAATGTGTTGTTTAAGGAACATCTTGTGTCAAAAAGACCTGTGATACAGCTGCAGCAGATACAAACTTTGACTCACATGCTGAATGTATAGGATATTTATCTACATGCACTGTTGCAAGAGTAGGAGGCTGCTAAGCAAGAGCTGCTTGTTCCACATATAAATCAAGTTAATAATGTAAATTCAATTCAAGCAATTAGAAATGCTTCTGGAATTCAACTAATAAAACATGTGTTGATTTAAATTGCGGCAATATTGAAGCCACAACTTCATATGATACTCATGCTGAATGTGTTGCAGTTGATGCAACACTTCTTTGCACAGTTAGAGCTTCAAATGGAGCTGCTGCTTCTGGTTGTATGGCTAGAGGAGCATGTAGTTCTTATTAAATTGAGGATTAATGCAGAACTAATGCAAGCGGAGGTGTATGTGTTTGGAATACAAATTTAACCTAAGCAGTATGTTAAGATAAATCATGCACTACTGCCCCAACTGCAACAGCAACCCATACTGATTGTGATGCATATTTTTCCACAGCTACAATAAAATGCACAGTTGTTGCCACACCAGATGCAAATGGTGGTGCACCAGTTTTAGGAGGTTGCCAATAAACAGCAGCATGTTCAACTTATATACATTAAGAATAATGCAGATTCAATGCTTCTGGAGATGCTTGTGGATGGAATGGTACTTAATGTGCAGATAAGTCATGCGCTACTGCACCTGCAACTGCTGATTATGATGATAACGATAAATGCAGAGCTTATTTCAATAATAAATGTACAGTTGCAAGCTCAGGATAAGGTTGTGTTGATATACCAGATACATGCGAAACTATGACAGAAAAACAATGTGTTAGTGATAAGAACGGTAAATCATGTTATTGGAATGGAACAGCCTGTATTACAAGAACTTGTGAAAATGCACCAGAAGCAACAGCAACTGCTGATGAATGTAATACATATTTGGCTGGATGTACTTTAGATTCAGTGAAATGTAAGACAAAGGTTTGTGAAGATTTTGCTTTTGCCACAGATGCTCTATGCAAATAAGCATTGAGTACATGTACTACAAATGGAACAAATTGTGTAACAAGAGGAACTTGCTTCCAAGCTTAGAACTAGGCTGGTTGTGTTACTTCATCAACAAATCAACAATGTGAATGGATGCCAGCTGTGGGTTCCAATCAAGCATATTGTACAATAAAGACATGTAATACAGCACCTGTTACATTAACTTCTGAAGCTGCCTGTGCTGGTTATTTCACAAATTGCACAACAAAGAATGGTGGTGGATGTGTTACTAAGTCAACTTGTGCAGCTGTTACTGTTGATGCTGCTTGTACAACTGCTCTTAATGGTACAATCTGCGCTTGGGATAGTGCATTAAATAAATGCAGAGATAAAGATTGTCAAGATTTCAGTGGAACTACTCATGCTGCATGCTAAGCTTAAAGAGCTGGATGTACTGCTGGAGCTAATGGAAAATGTGCTAGAGTTTAAAATTGTGAATAAACTACAATTAGAAGTGCTTGCATTGAAGGAACAAATGGACCATGTTTGTGGATTAATGATTATGTTAACACTGATGGATCTAAAGGAGCTTGCTTTAGATATACTTCATGTAAGAGTTTGTCTTGGAATTCTGATGCTTCATGCAAATGGATAAGTAACTAATGCACAACTAATGGATCTAATTGTGTTGGAATAACTTTATGCTCTGAAACTAACACAGATGGTGGATGTGTAACAGGATATGATGGAGCTTGTATTTAATCAGTCCCAGCTTTGAATTCTGCAGATCCAAAAGTTTGTAAACCATATACATCTTGTGCTGATGCTTTCTATACAACTCATTCTGATTGTCAAATCGCTAGTAGTAAATGTACAACAAATGGAACAACTGGTTGCATTGCATTAGGTGCTTGTTCATCTTACACTTCATAAGCAGGATGTTATTTCAACGATAAGGGAGTTATTTTAACATCTGGAGCTATTACTTCAACCGGTATTTGTACTTGGGATACAACAGCAAATAGTTGCAGAGATTAATCATGTGCTGATTTGACAGGAACAACTCATGCAACATGTTCTTCATAATTATCAACATGCACATCAGATGGTACAACTTGTTTACTCAAAGGAGCATGCTCATCATACACTACTTAAACTGCCTGCACAACAGCAGTTGGATCTGATGGAGCTTGTTATTGGGAACTTGCATCTGCTACAAATAATAACACTGCTAAATGTAGATTACTTACATGTGCTGATATTCAAAATGGTACAGCAACCAATGTTTGTTCAGTAGCCTTGTCTTCTTGTGTTTCAAATGGAACTGCTTGCATAACAAAAGCTAACTGCTCAACCTATACAACTAAGACAGCATGTAACTCAGGTGGATTGGATGGAATTTGTGTATTCACTTAATCAACTGCTACAGGAGCTGCTGCTGGTACTGGAACTTGTGCATTAATGACAGCTTGTACCACTGCTAATAATGATTAAGTTGCTTGTTAAGCTGCTAGGGATAGATGTTCATGGACACCAGCATCAGGAACTGGAGCAACTGCAGTTGCTAGTAAATGTGCCACTCACACTTGTGCTACAAACTAAGCCACAAATGGAGCTTGCACAAGATTTTTGAATTGGGATAAAAAGACATAATAAGTTTGTACTCTTGTCAGTGGAGCTTGCACAGCAGCAGACCCTTCAACTTTATCATCAAATGATTGCTTCTTGGTTTCAGGATATACATATACTTGGAATGCATCAACAAGCAAATGCGGAGTTTGCACTGCACCTGTTGTATAACCAAATAATACAGATAACAATACAAATAACACAAATAATTAAACAACAACTGACTCAGGATATATTCTTGGATTATCTACAATTATTTTTGGATACCTCATGTTCTGATGAGAATGATTTTATAAATTTATATAGGGAAAAAATATCTTAAATTTAAAAAATTAATATTTAAAAATAGGTATTTAATGGTAAAACCGAAAAAATACCTTTTTATTCTTGTAATTAAAATTCTATAAAAATTTTACTTTTAATTTTACATCTTTATTCTTTAGTATGGTCTCAGATATAATTTTTGAATGAATACAGAATAAAGTCAAGAAACTATTTTAACCAAAACTTTCTGAATTTGATTAATTATAAAATATGCTTATATAAAAATTATTGGAAAATTTTGTGTAAGTTGTTATTTTATTTTTTTAATTATTTTTATACTAAATTACTTCATATTAATTGGATTATATATAAAAAATGTTGTATTTATTCTAAGAAACATTAATTAATTAAAATAATTGCAACTATGCAATCCAATAATTAGTTTATTAAGAACGAAAATATTTATGCCCATGTTACTATAACTATCATGCTGAATAAATCATGAAGCTCTTCTTCTGTTTAATAAAAGTAAAAATTAAACAAAAAGTCTGTATATCAATTACTCATTTTTCTTCAAAGTATAACATTAATAGAACAGGGTGGTTGAAGTTAGAGTATATATATAATTTAATTATTTTCCTTCTCCAATTTCAATTATTTTCTCAAAGGATTGGTTTTCATTTTAAGTCCTAAATTTTCATATACATTTAACGCCATTTTTTCCTTACTAAAAGCTTTATTTAGAAATATTAATTTTTTAATGAATATCAATAATAATTATCAAAATTAGTTTGTTTCTGCACATAATAAAATTATCTTCTATTTAATTTTTAGCTTTTTCTTAAAAATGATTGGGAACAATCTCAATAGAATTATCAGAAAATTTATCATTATTATCTATTCTAATTAATGGTGATCAGTATTGTACAGTAAGAAATACAACCTTCCTCTTAAATCTTATTAAAGGATTTATTAATAATCAAGTTCTAAATAAATATCATTTCTAAATGTTTCCTAAAATTACTTTAATAGAAAAAGATTATCTCAAAAATATGAGATTTTTAAACTATAGAAACTTTTATATTAAAACAGATATTTAAAAAAATCTCACTTTAGTAAAATCAGGAGATATTCTTCTGATAGTTGGATTGAATCAAAAAATTTTATAAATAAAATGATTAAGCAAACATTGATAAAAATATGTTAATCATAAATATCTTATTATTATAATATCTTATATCCATAATCATATTTTCTATTAGAATTTCTATTTGAAAGTTCCAATTAATATTTCTAAGGAATGATTGAATTGTTAGGGAAAAGCCTATGACATGGATATAATAAATTCTCCGTTATTACTCACTGTCCCATAAAAGAAATTGGTTCCAAAATATATAGACTATTCTAAGCGGCATCTTTCAATGTCTAGCCTTGATTAATTTGAGAAAGCCAACTTTAAGACATTAAGATAATATCCATTCTTCGAAATCAGGAGTTATTTACTTGGAATGTATTACATTGGAAAGAAGATTTCACAAGGCTAATTACCTCCATTAACAAAAAGTGATCCACTTTTAATAAATTAACCATTTGAATCAGAAGTATAAATATAGATTTAATTATGGGGTTTTGGAGTTCTTGTTTGAATTGCAAAAATTTAATCTGTTATAAAACTTAATCTGTATCCAAATCCATCCATTAAAATTTTTTATTTAATACTCCATCCTTCCTTTTATTCCATCATCAGAAAAATTTCATTATTCTATTAACAAGATAAAAGCATATTACCTGATTAGTTAAATGATAATCCCCAAACTTCTGTATTTGATTCAGTAATTTTTTAGATTGGTTAATTTGTTGTTGAAATATAAAACATTATATTTCCATTCTTATGCCCAGTTACAATTAAATCATCAGATTATCTAACTTCTAAACAATTAACATATTCGCAATCATCAATATATTATTTGAAATCCCATTTAATTGCTTCTTCCCCATTATACTCTATTGGGTACATAATGTATAAACCTCTAAATTCGGTTGTTATAACAAATGTAAATTTTTATTTAAATAGAAATTTGATATAAATGATCCTACTCCTAAAAGATTAGGCTCTAAGATAGGAGATTTAGTATTAACCATCATTTTATCCTTTTACGATCTAATAAATCTAAACCATTGAGCCTGAAAATAATTCTGAAGTTACCATTAAAGTATTATCAGAGTTTATTGAAAATGTATAATTAACCATCCTATTAGGTCTAATAAATTCATAACGTATATTATGAAATTTAAACTTTAATTGAGGTTTATTAAAAATATTTTGAATTACTTCCATTAAATTTTATCGATTTTACTAAAGTACTAGCTTATCGATACAAGAATAAATCTTTTATAAAAATAATCCATCAATTTATTATTTTTCTTATTTGACCTATTTTTTGTATTCTTTAGGTTCATATTTAATCAACTCAATTTCTTCTAAAATAGTTAATGAACAAAGTTTTTATTTAAACTTTAAACTAGAAACTATCCAGTCATTTTTTAAATAAAGCAATTCTTGGAATACTTAGTTGTCAAGATCTTATATTTTTTCAATACATTTTTAGAAGTTATCTATTTAGGTTAAAAATTTATTTTCTAAATCTTCTATAATTACATTACGATTCCTTCTATTACAAACTAAATTTTATTAAAGTTAATTAATATCAATTCTTTTGATATCACCTATCGATAATTAACATAGTTGACAAATAAGCATTTCATCTGATTTAAAATTTTTATCTATTATCACTTCTACTATTGGCCTGCTATGATTAAGTTTACAAGGAAGATTAACTATCTCTTCAAAGTTTACTTCACTTTGTTCCCATTATTTTTCTTCTTTATAATACATCAGTGCTGTCTCAAAATATTCAAACCTACTGTGATTCAATATGCTTGTGGCTATATTAGGATGTGAAACCCTTGGCATTAACAATATATCAATTAAATCGTTAATTAGGCTCTTAATAGTATGTGAAGGCTACCATTTCGACTATAATTTTTTTGAATATTTACCTTACACCAACAATCACAGCATTCAGCTCTATCATTAAAGTATAAGGGGTGAAAAATTATTTTTTTTATTTTTATAAAAGGGTTTGAGAAAGGATAGTTTTATGGCACATCAATCCAAAATGGAATTATCTAATTTTCCAAAGGGCTCCCAAGTCCAGACAATGTGAAATGTATTCTAATATTAAAAATTGTTAGACTTCAATCTATCTTCTTTATCTTGATATACTTCAACCCCAGGAGTAGGATTTTCAGTTAAATCTTTAATTTCTTTGTTTACTCTATTAAGCATAGAAATAAATTTTTAGAATAACAAAAATATGTTTTGATTTGATAAATTTCAAGCATAAATATTGACCAAAATAGTATGAAAATTTAAAAGAAAATAGATTATTACAAGAAGTCTTATAAAAGCACGATAAATGTTCACTTCCAGAAATTTATTCCTATTCTATCCGCTTAAATTGTCGAAAATTCAAAATAGAATAAAACAAAATTTTATAATTATTTTAATTGTAAATATAATTTGATACTAATATAAATTTAATTAAGCTGAAATTTTGTTTTAGCCTTATGAGTTAGATGTAAGAATCATATGAATTGATTAGAAATATATATGTAATATTATTATTGAAATCTTCTCATTTTTCTAATAGAATAAATTATTATGACTATGAAACTAATAATCCTGATTATAAATGAAAAAGGGGTTTTATGAAATTAATAAAGATAAATTAATTTATAATTAACTATCCACCATTCAATATCTGAAAAAAATATTGTTAATATTTTTCTTATTTTAGATTTATAATATTATTATTTGTATCTACATAGTTAAAAATAAATATTACAAATTATATTATAAGTGTAAGAGTTAGAACTATAAGAATAATTATAGAAATAATAATAAAGTAAAATAAAACAGTAATTATGCATTTATAATTTTATTTTGAGTTTCATGTAAATTTGTGAATTTCTAATTAATAATAAAATAGTTAATCTTTAAACTTAAACACTATTAGAAAAATCAAATTATTTAATTAAAAAAAATTAGTTATTTATTTTACTATTATATGATATTTTAATATATTTCTCATTTTTTTTACATTATATAATTAAGATGAATAAAATAAAAATAAACAATAAACTATAAACAATAATTATTAACAAAAAGTATTAATTTTAGAAATACATAAAATATATTATAAATAAATTATTTAACCTAAGCTTTCTATTAATTAGATTTA